AAAAAAAATTTTTGATTTTTGACGATTTTTGAAATTTTGAAAAATTTGGAGTGACCTCTTAAAAATTTTTTTTTGAGCTGTCCTTTGGTGAGGGCTCTTAAAACATTAAAAACTAACATTTTTTCACTCGAGACTCAAAAAAAAAAAAATAGTCGGTTTTTTTGCGCCACCCTAGTGTGTATGTATGTAAACCTCTTATAACTTTTGAACGGCTTGGCCGATCGGATCGAAATTGGTGACGATCCAAAGAGTATCATAGCCATTAAATTTCGTGAAAATTTGAATCGAGTCGGTTCGCTAGATTTTTAGAAATTGCAAAAAAACTACAAAAAAAATTTTTTTGAAAAGTGGTTTTTTTGGAATAACTTTTAAATGGCTTTACCGATCAATTCCAAAAACTAATCAGCTCTTAACATAAAAAAACCGCGTCGATCACCGCCAGTCCGGTCGAAATCGGTTGATTCGTTCGTGAGTTATCGTGAACGAAAGAAAACCGAAAAAAGTGTTTTTTCGGAATTACTCTGAAATTTTCAGTTCGATCAATTAAAACCTGAAAATAACTTATGAGGATGATAAAACTGCGTCGAATGCCGCCAACCGCGTGAAAATCGGTTGATCCATTCAAAAGTTATTGCGATTTAAAAATGAAAAAAATAGTGTTTTATCAAACTTCTATCAAACTTTTGAGCTCGAGGAGCTCAAAAGCATACAAAAGCTATTTTTTTGAGCTCGGAGAGCTCAAAATGATACACAAATTGTATTTATGAGCTCGAAGAGCTCTAAAACGTCATAAGTGCAATTTCAAGCGTTCAGGTAAAGAATTGGCGGGAAGTTGCAGGGATGACCTTTAGGATGAACCGTTTTTCTAATTTTTTTGTGTATACTTTTCGCTCATTCTTGTGTAGCACAGTAACCAGTCGTATTTCATTTTTTCCGTGTACTTTATAGAGTATTCATTCTATGTTAAAGTTAACGCTGAACGCCAGAAATAAAATTGATATCAGTAAGTTTAATAAATTAAAAGGTCTAGTTAAAAATAACGCAAAAGGTTATGAGCCTGAGAAATATGCTGTCTTAACATGAGACGAGGTTATGAAATTCATATATAATGCACCGGACTATACTCTTTTAGCCAATAAAGTATGTATTTATAAATATTTGTATAAATTGTATTAATTATTTAATGAATTAATTTATTGTTATCTTTATTTTTATATTTTAAGGTTGTGCTAATCTTTGGTATTTTTGGAACTACCAGATGCGACGAGTTGAAAGAACTTCAAGTTGCTGACGTTGAAGAAATTGGCGGAAAATACCTAGTTTCCAGAAAGGACTCAAAGAATGGTGTGCCTCGTAAATGTTTAGTTGGACCACTTTTTTATAGAAAAGTGAAAGAATATATTTCATTAAGGCCTCTATATTTTGAAATTAAGAGATATTTTGTGCAATTTTTAAACGGCAAATGCCACCGACAAGTCTTGGGGAGAAATGAAATAGGTCAAATCCCAAAAATTATAGCTGAGTATTTGAAGTTGACTAATCCACAATATTACACAAGACACTGCTTACGCAGGACATCAGCCACATTGATATTAAACTCTGGAGCAAATAAAACAATGTTGAAACAATTAGGAGGATGGAAATCGGCAAGTATAGCAGGAGGTAATTCTCTTATTTATTAAAAAAAAATTATAATTATAAATTTTTTGTTAGTACTTTAAATAATATGTTTATGTCGATTTATTTACAGGTTATACTGAGAACTCTTTGCTGAACAGGCAGAAAATCTTTGTTAAGATCACACATGCAGCTAAAGTTGTTCTTCCATCAGATACAAATCTGCAACCATCTACAAGTGAAACTAATTCAACTAATACAACTAAATTGAGAAGTTTTGTTTAAAATCAAGAATCTATACCTTCAGAAACCGATTGTGATAATTCTTTTAATGACTTTTTCTTGGATGATGACACTTTGGCGGCAATTGACAACTCATTTGTGACAGAAAAACCAGTATCATCACTACCTTCCTTTACCACAGCAAACAATGAAAAAATAATTATAAATTCTGACCTCAAAACAGCTCAACCTTGTAATTTTTTGAAAAAACCACCAATCTCGGTTTTTTCTCATGAAAAAGAAAATCAACCTCCAGAGAAAAGAATTAAGGTCCAGCAATTGCGTAATGCAAACAGTAATGTGAAAACGGCATCAACATTTACTAATTTTGTAACGAATAAACAAAAATTTGAGTCCACGTCTAATAAAAATGAAGCAAATCAATTGACATCGGAAACTAAATCAACAAATTTTGAGGCATCAGCGTCTGCATCTGTAGAAGCGTTATCAAGCGATAATCGAAACGTGAGATACAACGACTGTGTATTTCACGGAAATATAATTAATAACTCCTATTTTTTTAATGGTAAACTTCCTGAGCAAAATATATAATACACTAAAATATTTAGTATAACAGATTTAACATTATAATATTACTATTTAAGTATAATGCATACAAAATATTTAAATCGATAATTATTTTAAAAAAATGACTAACTATATAAGCTTAATAAAGTATAAATTGTATAAATTGATAAAGTAACCTCAGCTGTTATGAAATAAGTTTTGTAATTGTGATACGAAAAAACAGTCATGTTTATAATATAAGCACAAGTTCTTTTATTGATATGTATCTATACCTTTATTTGAAATTTGAAAATGTATTTGATGCCTGCCCCCAATCAGCAGAACTCACTTCGTTCGCGCCGCAAATATCGGGGCAGGCATCAATATCTTTAGTTCACATATGTCATTGTTCCGTTATTTTGATCAGATATAAAGAAAACTAGTATACACTACAAGGGCAGAAATTTGAGAGCCCTGAACTGCACGCCATGATGCCCTCGGCTCCACTTCGGGCATTATGGCGTGCAGTGCAGGAATCTCAAACTTTCGGTCCTTGTAGTGAAACATACTATTATGCACCTTATATATATTTATGTAAAATATGTAATAATTTAAAACATTTGAAAAGGCTTTCGGTAAGATTGAATGTTTTGTTCAAAAAATGGTAAACATATGTACGAAAGAATAAAGAAAAATGTTTTAACCATTAGTTGCAAGTCTTTAGGAAAAATGGTCACTCGAAAAGTTAAGCTGAGTGTAACAGAAAGGTTTGGTACGTAAGGCACGTTCATGGAATACTGTCAATGTATGCCGCCCGCATAAGCTAACGGGCATATCGAATTTTACATTACATTCAACAGACGATTTATGTAGGGAGCTCTGATTGTGAAAAATGAATAAAAATATATATGATGGATGGTGAGCAACAGCAACAAACTTAAATATAAAATAATAATAACTATGGTTGGAATGAGAAACAGTCGAGAATCGGCGCTATAGATATAATTTTGATAAAAACAATTATATCAGCCGTACATTAATTTTTTGCTTATTATGATGATTAATTTATTAGTTCATAACGACATCATTAGGAAAACCCTTCGGTAGATAATATCAGGATACATACCGTTTCAAATGTTTCATAATGCATAAAACTTTAACAAAATTTTGTTGTAATAAAGGTATTATTACATAAATTCATATTTAAAAAATTAAGAATACGGTTGACCCTGAAGGCCATCCCTAAAACTTCCCGCCGATTTCATACCTAAACGCTTGAAATTGCACTTATGACGTTTTAGAGCTCTTCGAGCTCATAAATACAATTTGTGTATTATTTTGAGCTCTCCGCGCTCGAAAAAATAGCTTTTGTATGCTTTTGAGCTCGAAGAGCTATAGATAGAGTAGATAGAAGCTTGTTTGATAGAAGTTTGATAAAACACTATTTTTTTAATTTTCAAATCGCAATAACTTTTGAATGAATGAACCGATTTTCACGCGGTTAGCGGTATTCTACGCAGTTTTTTAGGACATAAAAAATTCTTAAGTTTTAACTATATTGGTTCAACTATAAATTTCGGAGTAATTCCGAAAAAAACACTTTTTTCGGTTTTTTTTCGTTCACGATATCTCTTGAACGAATCAACCGATTTTGACCGGACTGGCGGCGATCGACGTAGTTTTTTGATGTTAAGAGCTGATTAGTTTTTAAAATTGATCGGTA